TTACCGTAAGCAGGGCCCGCACCCCTCTCGCGTCCCTCCCGCCCCGCCGCGCCGCTTTCCCCGGTGCCCGAGCGCTGGCGGCCTGAGGAGCCCGGCCCACAGCCGCTCGCACCCGCACGGGCCGCGGGGAAGGGCCACTGGGAGCGGATTTCCCCGGAAACGAGGGGGTTACCCGGCAATCATGCCGCTGCCCCCGCAGCACACCGGCCCTCGTCCCGCTGGAGCCTGCCCCTCGCTGCCCCCCTCGGCGGCACAGTCCCGCGGGGAGGCAGCGTTTCTCATCCCGGGCTATAAACGGGCACATCAGCGTTGACTCAGCCCTCACAGGAGCTCTGGAGCGCTCCTGCCCTGCAAATAATAGTCTGGGATAATGATAACGATCAAATTCATGGTAGCGAAAAAACCTGCAGGTTGGCAGTTTGCAGGCAGAGCTGCACTCTGCAAGACTTTCCAAGTCTGCTGCTGATCAAAAGCAGTTTTTCATGGGAATGCTCAGAGACATGATTGCAATGAAAGGCTATTTCCATGCCAAATTTCCATGCTCAAATCCCTAGCTGCTTCAGCTGAAGAGCTGTTTTAAGATAAAGTCACAGGATTTTTCTGTTACTGAAGTGAAAGGGTATTTTGGTTCTCCTCCTTGTTCTGCCAAGCTAGCAGATGAACTGGCTTTTCCTAACCAAAATCTAACCCTTAGGCAGCTACCATGCTTAGAAACCTTCAGCCCCCCAGACAGGAGTGTTCCTGCCGTGCTGGCAGGAGACTGGCCTCGGCCTCACGCAGCCTCGCACGGCCGGTGCCCGAGCGCCCGAAGTGAACGCAAGGCAGCGATACGCTTCGCGGGGCTCTGGGATCACCCAGCCTCTGCTCTAACGCAGGAGGACAGGCAAGAGCCCAGGCCTGGGACTAGGATGTTCTGGGTCAAGTTTCCCAGCTCTGTCACAGGCAGGTTGGATGATGTTGGAAAAAGCCACTTTACATTATTACATCTCATTTCTCTCATTCCCAAGAGAGAGACCATGACACAAAAGAAACGGACAAGTTCATGAAAAGTTGTAAACTGTTCCGCTCTGTGCGTGTGCCGAGGATACAGGGATATCAGTCTTGGCTGAGGTTTTCAGAGACCTCAGATGTGATCATAAACAACAACGATTAACAGTGTTTAAATAAGAAACAGCGTAGAATACAGAGGGGAAGGGCTGGTAATTCAAGAACAGGGGCATGTTTCTTCATGCACAGAATATAGGACATGAGGTTTGGAAGATATTTTAACCCTTCCTTATCCAAAGCAGACTCAGCTCCACCACTCTGTAGCACAGACAGCAAACCCAGCCCTCCCCAGAAGCCGGAGCCCTAGGAAGGCCCATGGTACACAGCCTCCACCTGATGCAGGCAAACTGAACAAACAGAGACAACAGTATTCCAAAGTG